TTAGGCGGTTAGTGGGGGAGGTCAAATGTCCCTAGAGAAAACAACCAAGGTAAAGAGATAGATTTCAGGGTGGCCAAATCTTGATCTCCCACAACCTCCAAGGGCAAGTTTGTCCAAGTTTTCTCAACACCTCCAGGGAAGAGTGAGGCAGAGGCATCAGACCTAGAGGACACTCAATATTAAAATCATCCATTTATCTTCTCCCAAACTTACTTCCGTTCAATGCTCACCAAGCAAAATTCTTGTTTTAATTGGCTTTCTTATATGTTCTGATGATAGAATGCTACTCATTACACCAACATGTTCCATATGTCAGTCTAGTTTATACATCAGCTTCCTGTGAGTTGACTGGTGGGAGTTAGTTCTGGAGCAATCAGTCAATTCTTGGTGCCCTGATAAGATCAAATTTCCAGACCTGCAAAGCTGAGGACTGGCTGCTGAGCTTTGGTAACCACACCGTGTAAAGTGTATGACCACTGACCTCAATAGAACACCCACCCATGCCCTGCCTCTCTCTCATTGTTACTCTTCTATACCAAGATCACAACCGGCCCCCTCCACTGCCTCTCCTTCCAAGCTTTCTACGAGGTACCTTTTTTTATTCTCAGGGGAAGACAGCATGGGAAGAAGTCACTCCAAACCTGGTAAGTTCAGGACACAACCATTACCTGCCTCACTGCTGAGTTAAAATGAACCAGAAACTGGGCTGAAGGGCTGTAAGGGGACAACTCTTCTGAAGTTGGAAGAATCAGATTTTACCACGAACAGACTCCAACACCAAGAAGAGTGAAAAAGGGAAAACAGAGAGAACTGCCTGACCCTCCAAATTCCAGTAAACGGTGTGTCTGTGCTTGCTGTTAGACCAACTGGTTAGTTCTGGTACTCCAGTTCACTTCCCTTACTGCCCCGCCCTCATTTGTGGTGTGAGTCTGGGGAACATTCACTGCAGCTGCCTTTGGCTAGGCACTGTTGATAGCCGCCCTGTAACAATGAACAAATGAATAAACAAAACAAAAGGCAGCTATTTCCAAGGTCAGATTCCCAAGGACTCTAGGAAACGCTCATTCTGGGTTTCACTTGTGGTTCTCTGCTCCCTGGCCTTGAGATTCTCTGCTTAAGCCTGAGGGAACATATCTCCCTAGGGAACCTATTAAAATCTTTGAGGGAGAGATTTGAGATGTTTTGGGGACATAGGGGGCTACAGAAACACCAGGCTCTTCTTTCATTTGTGGAGCCAATTGTTTCTCAGGTTCCAGTTCTACTTTTCATGGTAAAGGACCCAGGATCTAAGAAACATGTTTTCTCCTTTTGCAGAATTGTAGCCCCAGCATTAATCTCCACTGGTTGCTTGGATAGGGTGGGCACCCGGGGACACTTAAGCTGGAAAGATTCACAAGACATGGCAGATACTCCAATCCTCTCTCTGTTCTCTCATAGACAAACTCCACTCCACGGCAGCCCCAACCACGACCTCTGCGCCTTGCCTCTCTGCCTACCCCAAGTGAGTGAGCATCCCCCACCCGTTTCATCTGGGACCACATGGCACTTGATTTTGTGGTGACAGCTTTGCCTTATGGACTTGGGGAGGGAGGCCTGGGGAGAAGGGACCAGAAAGAGTGGAAGAACTAAATCAGTTTTTTATCTTCAGACTGTAGTTCTTAACCTAGGGTCCCCTGAGCCTCAAGAGACTCATGAATCCTCCAAGTGTATGGATAAGCTGAGGGGCAGGGTGTGACTATGAACATTTTCTGAGGCGGGAGAGAGCCCACAGCTTTCATTGAGGCCTTAAGCAGAACTGGAACCTGAAAGTAAAAAGTTGAAAACCAGTGGGTAAGAGTGAAAATTAACAACCAGTGTGAGCGCTGTTTCCAGGGCTTACCTGCAAGCTGGAGAGGTTACACTTCCGTCTTTAGGAAAAGCCTTCAAAAAGCCCAGCAGGTCATCTACTCCTTTCTTTGCCAAAACAGCAAAGAACTTCATTTGGTCTTAGCCTTTTTTGCTGGGGTTCTACTGACATTGCTGCTGATGGCCCTAGTCTTCCTCATCATAAAGATCTACAGAAAATGTAAGTGGTCTCCAAGAGATGGGACAGCTCTTCTTTCTCTGCCAGTGAGAATAGAGTTAGCTTTGTGTGAATAACGAGAGGGAGGGGATAAAACCTGCATAGCCCACTCTGTCTGCAGACCAAAGACTTGAATCCCTCCACTTGTCTCCCTGCCCTCCTCACCCTCCACCGTTGCCACCTCCAACACCTTCTCCCCACCCTACCCCTTCACCCAAGATTCAAGGGAGAGGCTTCTGATTCCTCCAGGCCTCATTGGTGAGACTTGTCCCTTTTCATCCTGACACTTGTGGCAGGTCGCTCCAGTCCCCAGGCTCTGGATCCTCACTCAGATCCTCCAGCCAAGGTAAGATGACCATGCTGTTTCCAGGACACTAGAGCCTGCTGCCGTTGGCATTTCCCTCTATGCAATGCCTTATCGACTAGAATAGTGGTATTGCTTTATGCACACGAGCAAGTGATTTTTTTGAGGGTGCTTCTGATCTCTTTGGGTATTCTCTGACCAAATCTTTCAAGTTACTTCTAAAGAGGCACTTGCTTATGAAGAGACACATTCTTCCAAATGGAACTCACTCATTCCTCTGCCTTCCTCCTCCGCAGCTTCCGTCTGTCCCAGAGGAGACACTCACCTATGCCAGCATGACTTTAAAACAGTCGCAAGGAAAGAGAGATCGCTTGACTGCAAACCGTTCTGCACACTCAGACCCCGTTGTCTACGCTCGAATTAAAGTGACAAATACATCCTGCCTTTCCAGTGAGGCTTGAATTCAGTTCCTCTCACCTCGGCTCCATCTTCATACATCGCTTTCCCTTTTTACAAATTTTGGGCCACAATCTGGGAGAAACTGCTGATGGAGTTGTTTGGGTGTGATCTGGCAGTGTTAGCCAGCAGTTTTGAAGACAGAGGGTCAGTCTTTTTCCTGGCCAGAGAAAAGACTGCTGGCCCTCCCACTTGGACTGACAGCCTCTTAGCCCCATGAGGGCTGAGACTGCCCCCCTTGTCCCCTTCCAAAGTGTGTGGTACAGAGCTCAGGGCACAAAGAGTGCTCACTCAGTGTCATTGATCAACTTGAGAGGAGTCAACCAAATGAACACTCTAGCAAGAATTACAAATAAAAGGAAACCTTCTGCAATGTTGGCTCCTTCTTCATCATTTATTTCTCCGTGTTACCTCCAGAGGTCAGGGCCAAAAGTCCAGAGCTCATCTACAGCCAGAAAAGACTCACAGAGGTGATGGTACACTCAAGTTCAGGATTGATTGGGGCACAGGTCTCAACCTCTGCCTCTAACTAGCTACGTTCATTTGGGCAAGTTTGTTAAACTATTAAAGCTTTAATTCCTTCATCTTGAAAACAGAACTAATAAAAACTAACTCTTAGTGTGAGAATAAATAAGATATCATATATATAAGCACTCTGTACATCCTAGAGTCCCACACCAAAACAAGTCCCTATTGTGTAAAGCACTATTCAAATGTGGATGTCCATCTCCTTGCTATAGCTTAAGAGATATGCATAGCAACATTACATGGGAATCAAGATTAATCTAAATGTTAATCCCCACCCCCCCCAAATCCCAACAGATACTTCCATAGATGATCCCAGTAAAAATACCAATAAGATTATTTTTTACTCAGCAAGATTACTCTAAAATTCCTATGTAAACAATAAACAAAAAAGCAAATCCAGGAAAATTCATAAAAATAAATAAATAAATACATAAAAGTAATATGGGAAGGCTAGCCCTAGCCGCTAACTAAAAGTACTGTTTTATCAAGCATGACGAATTAAAATAATACGTTAACGATGTATGAATAAACAAATCAATGGGCTAGAATAAAAACTCCAGAAATAGACCAAAATACATAAGGAAATTTAGAGCATGATAAAGATGGCATATCAAATCATTTGGGGGAAAATGTTTTATTCAATAAATGGTTGAAATAAATGAAAACAAAATTGGATTCATATCTCACTCCTTATGTCAAAATAAACTCCAGATATGTCAAAAACTTAACTGTAAAAAAACCATGAAAGTACTAGAAGAAAATATGGGAGAATTTTAAATATAATCTCAGAGTGGAACATGCCTTTGAAAGTATGACACAAAACCAGAAACCAGAAAAGATTGATTAACTTGACTTAGGAAATACCGTGTTCAAAAGACAAATGACAAGCTTGGGAAATATTTGCAAGCATCTCATAGACAAAGGGCTAATTTTCTTAGTATATTAAGAGCTCTTATAAATCAATAGGGAAAAAATAAACAACTCAATAGGAAAAAAAAGGGACAAAGGATAAGGTTGGGTGATTCACAGAAAAGGAAATACAAATGGCTTTTAAGCACATGAAGAGATATTCAACTTCACTCATCGTAATAAAAATAGTAATTAGAACTCCAATTAGATAATATTTTCCATCAATAAGGTTAGCAAAATTCACAGTTTGCTAACAAACTGTTTGAGCAAGATTATGGGGAACCAAGACACACACGCACTACTGGTGGGAGAATAAGTGGATACAACTATCAATGGAAGGCAATTTGGCAATAACCAACCACGTTTTTAATTCTTTTTCTAAGAATTTATCCTGCTTAAACATGTGGAAAGTCACCTATGTAATTTTAATTACAGCATTCACTAAATTGGCTAAAGCTTATGCTCTAGGCAGCATTCTAAGTGCTTGGCATGAATTCACGGAATCCTCAGAAAACACTAGGAGGGTACAGTTATTCTCCTCATTTTAGGTACAGAAATGGAGGCCCATAGAGGTTAAATAACTTGCCCAGGTTCACACTGCTAGTAAGTAGTGGCACTGGGACTCTAACCCAGATAGGCTGGCTCCAGAACTGCACATTTACCCATTATGCTCGACTCTCTGAAGCAGTGAAAGATTGAGACAACCCTCCATGTCTATGGAGAAGGGATTGGCTGGTGGAGGACGATTTGGCCATTAAAAACAAGGAGGCAGCTCTTCATTTATGTTCTAAGAAAAAAAAGATCTCCAAGAGATATTGTTCAATGAAAAGTGCAAGCTGCTGAACAGAATTCTGCATATGCTCTATTCATGTACAACAGAGAACGTGTAGGCGCACCTATTTTTTTATATATTTAGTGTGTCTCTGAAAGAAACACCATTAACTGGTCTTAGTGATTGCCCCTGGGGAGGGGAACTTGGTAACTGAGGGACTGAGGGGCAGGGATGGAAGGAGGTATGCTTTCTCTTAAACATCTTTTTGTAACTTTTGAGGTTCTTCATTTTCCTTGTTGAGGATCTTCAGGGTGTCCAATACCTAGCGCTCCCATTCCCCACCTGAATTCTGAACCAACTGAGAAATAAGAATGAGGACTCAGCAGATAGAGAACAAAGTACGGTCTTTATTATAGACATAGTCGACACTGGAGATTAGAGAGTATATCGTAGCTGCAGAGAAGTGAGCTTCGGAGCACTGAACACCATGATTGATAGAACCACACCAAGGCAAGTCCCACCTCCCCACAACCAAACCAGTGGCTCAGCTGTTCCCAGGAGTTGTAGAAGAGATCATGTGCTCTTTGAAAGCTGCACCCGAAAGATTAAGAAAAGAAAAAGGAAAGGCAGAGTGGGTACGCCCGGTTCCTACCCCAGACTCACATATCAGACAGGTCACTCCACCTCCGCTGGGGCGTCACTGAGGAGTGTTACCCTGAGGGAGCTCAGTCCACAGGGGAGGAAGCAGGAGTGGAAGGGAAGCATCCTCCACAAATCTCTTTTAAAAATATATTAAATAATATTTTTAAAAATCAAGGTAAGGAAATTAAAGTTCAAAGAATTGATGAAATAATTTACCCAATGTCTCCCAGCTAGTTAAGCGGCAGAACAAAATTTAAATCAAGTCCTCTGATTTCACATTCCTTGCATATGCCTCCACGCCAAGCTGCCCCAGAGCATGTATAGTGGCAGAGAAACTTGAGAGGTCAAGTCAGGTGACGTGCTCGAGAGAGCATGTTCATTCTGAGATAGAGCAGCTGCTCCTGACAGCTGGACTTGGAGGAGAAGACAGTGGAAGAGAGGTTTGATAAAGGAGTGGGCCCTCTTCGGGAGCCAACAGGTCTAGGAGAAAACCGGTTTAGGGAAATAGCCTTGTGAAGACGCCACAGCCCAGCAGAGTGGCTGGCCCCACGAGGGCAGCAGAGCCTCAGGACCGCTCCTCTCGTGCCCTGGCTGCCTGGGGGAAGCACCCACAGGGAGGCCTCTCCCTCTTTCAGCTGGTGGCAAACTGCGCTGACATGAAACAATTCTACCAACCCTGAAGCTAGAAGCCGCGTTACCTTTCCAGTTGAGAGCCAGTGCCTTATGAACAGCTGCAAGAGGAGTAAGCTTGTCCTGCGGCCATCCCCTTGTATGCGAAATATCAGGTTAATTACTCTTCCCTCTGTTTTCTTGAAGCTTCCCATTTTAAACAGCATAGCCCTGTGTTTACAAAGTCTTGTTTTTTGTCTCCCTGTCACGAAAACAGGTGCGCAACTAGCCTTGCTGGAGGAAGAAATGAGTAATTAAATAATTGACCATAGATTCAAAAGGTCTTCGCTAGGTAAGGGAAGAAAAAAGGCTCTTGAACCCCGGATCATGGAATCAAAACAAACCTGGAGGCCTCTCAGGGGAAATAGCTTTCCAGATAGGTAAGTGTAAGTCGTCCAAGCCATCTATAGATGTCTGCCTCCGTTACGGAAGATTGATGTCTGCCATCTTGCCTTGTGTAGTAGGAGGTCCTAACTGAGCCCAGACTGGACTGCTATTTGCAAAACCTGTGGGCTAATGGCTCCTTCATGTAAGTTCAATATACAGCCACAAGGGAGGGACTGTGGTTGTTTTGTGGCCAAGGGAAAAGAGCACTTTTGATATTATTTGATCTGAGACTCTGGGAAGGAGGAGTTCTGGCTGTATAGAAACAAGGAGGATGGCAAGAACGGGACGGTATCCACACCCACCCCTTCCCATCAGGCTGTTGAGCAGCTTTGAGTTCCCCACCTGTGGAGAGTGGGGTTAGGGTGGAAGCTAAAGGAACTGTGTTCATGAAAGACTTCAGGAGAGCCTGGACCTAAATGTGCAGGGCATGTGTAGAATCGTGTCAAGAGCCAATCTCCCTGCCCCAGTCCTGCTCAGACCAGAGGGCCACTTGAGCATCCGCAGCACTAAGATTGGCCAGCTCTCTATTAGAAGAGACCAGAAGAGCAGGGTTTTTATGAGAGCAGCAGAGGCAGTGATGGGGAGACCCTGAGAACTCCCTGAAATGACGGGAGAGACACTATAGGAGGAGAGTGGGTACAGACATGCAGGTGGGAGCTAAGAGTTGTGGTAATTCTGACAATATAACCTTGCACCCACAGCTGCTGATGCCTCAGCTTTAGTTTGTGTTTCCTGATTTGAAGGAATATTTCACTTAAGTTATCACACCTTGGCTTCTCATTGATCAAAAGCATCATCCATTCAGTCTGGTGGCAGTTTCCTATGCAAGACAGTCTTTTCACCCAAAGAATCTGAGAACCACTGATTGAGCCTATCTCCCTTTCTTTGGGTAGGACAGCATGTAATACCAATTCAGAAATAAATTGGAATATTATACTCTAAAAGAAACTTTTCCAGACATACTTTCCCAGTGATATCCCGGGAGAAGTTAGTCATACCTCGGAGTTCATTCAACACTGGTCAGGAATTTATTGGTTAACAAATAAAATACAAGTGATCTGGCCCCATGACCAAGATTCTGCTTGTCCTGCTCACTTCTGGCTAGCCGAAGGCGTGAGAACTAAGATCTTGAGAAGTTATCTGATGGCAGCCTTGCTCAGGCGTGGCCTAGATGGCTCCTCTGGCTACCACTCTTCTTACCAAGCTACAAACGATTGCTGCCAAGGTGAGAGGGTCCTTCAGAAGGCTGAGAGATCAGAATCAGTCCCCCGGATGTGGGCCAGTTGTCATGGAGATTCTATTGTAGCATCACTTTATGAACTAAATAAAAGAAATCTTCAGTCATGTCTGTTCAGTACGAGCCATTTCCTTTGGAGTCAGGACACGTGAGAGGGGCTTCAAAGAGTTGTCTACTTCGTTGGAAATAGAAAGGGAAAATTGAATTGAGATCTATTGCCTACTT